CGCCCCTCACCCTGGGATCGGGCTGTGGGGCCCCTGCAGGCCCTGCGTGGGGTTTGGCATCACAGGCAGCGGCCACAGCAGCGCCGGAGGGCGTCTGTGAGGGGCGGACCCATGTCCACAGTGCCGGGCAGGAAGCTTCGGCCCCTGCAGCCTTCAGGGCGGGAAGCAGCGCAGCCACGTCAGGGACGGGTCCTCCGTGCAGCCCCTGCTCTGTCTCCTCGGGCAGCGCAGGCCGGGGAAGGGGTGAGCTGTGGAGGCGACTCGCACAATTACAGCCTCGCCCCGAATTAACTCTGAACTTACTGATTCCGTAACGTCCACCCAGGGAGGTGGAGGAGTGCAGCGTCCAGGGCCACGGTCCATGGGGAGGGACACCCACAGCCCACAGGGTGCGAGCTCAGAGCCAGTCGTTTGCTCTGACACGGGGGTGCGAGCACAGAGTGGGGGACCCATCTCCTCTGACACGGGGGTGCAAGCTCAGAGCCCGGGTCTGCCCAGCGCACTTGGCTTCTCGGTTCAAGCCCTGTGCGCTAAACTCAATGGAGGAAGTTTGCGTTCAAGTCTGCAAACCCCCATGTGCCGTTTTGAAGTGCTCACTTGGCGACATGTGTCCTCTGGCTCGCTGCTGTCTCTGGACTTGGCTTCTGGCAGCACAGAACAGCGATGACATCCACCGGCGGTGCCTCCGCCGTCCCAGCCCACCTGCCCCGCTGCTCCCTCCCTGACCGGCCATCCCACAGCCACACGGCACAGCCAGGGCCCGGCAGTGAGAACACGGCCACTTAGGAACCGGTGGGAGGGGCGTGAAGACGCGCGGTGAGTGACAGCCACCCCCTGGCGGGAGCGTCACACGGCCTCTCCCCGCTGCAGGTACATGGACTTCTTCCCAACGCCGGCCAATGTCACCAGCGACTTCCTGTTTGAAAAGAGCGCCAACTACTTCCACTCGGAAGAAGCTCCCAAGCGGGCAGCCTCCCTGGTGCCCAAGGCCAAGCTCATCACCATCCTCATCGACCCCTCGGACAGGGCCTACTCCTGGTACCAGGTGCGGGCGGGCGCCGGAGCGGTCGCCGTGGGAACGGAGCAGGGCTGCGGTGCGAGGACAGCAGGTGGAATCGGGGAGGTGGAGGTGCAGGATCAGGAGGGGCCCAGGGTTGAGGTCACCAGAACCCATGGAAACAGGGTCAAGGGGGACGAGACTCCCCCCCGGGCCCTCAGGTGGTGACCAAAGGCAGCAGGTCCCGGGGTAACGTTCTGCCTGTCGCCCTCTCGTTGGCCCTGGGTGCAACGCCCGGGACCTAACATGTGAGTGTCAGCCCCGGTAAAGCAGGCTTCATGCTCCCATGTGTAGCCACAGTCCCAGGAACCTACCGAGGACATAAGTGAGGACCTTCCGTGTCCCCTGAAGAGCCGGGTGTGGGTGGGGGAGGCTGTCCTGTGGCCGTGGAACCAGCAGAGGGCGCTGGCCCTGCTGGAACAGGTCTGCCCAGGGCAGATTCTGGCATCAGAGGCAAAAAGCCGGGAGGGGGTGGGGGCTGGGAGTCCGTTTCCGGACATTTCACCGTCATTTTTATTCTAGAGCAGTGGTTCTCAACCTTCCTAATGCCACGACCCTTTAATACAGCTCCTCCTGTTGTGGTGACCCCCAATTTCGTGGTTACAAATTGAACATCATTAAAGCACAGTGATTAATCACAAAAACAATATGTAATTATATATGTGTTTTCCGATGGTCTTAGGCAACCCCTGTGAAAGGGTCGTTCGCCCCCCAAAGGGGTCGCGACCCACAGGTTGAGGAACGCTGTTCTAGAACCGACCCATCGTCTGTCTGACTTCCGTGACATGGGGGAGGCACTCACCTCACACTCACGCACGTGGACGCCGGTGCGGGCACGGAGGCCTTCCCCTGACAGCGGCTTCTCTGTTCCAGCACCAGCGGTCGCACGAAGACCCAGCCGCCCTGCGGTTTAACTTCTACGAAGTGATCACCACCGGCCCGGGGGCCCCGTCCGACCTGAAGGCGCTGCAGCGGCGCTGCCTGGTGCCCGGCTGGTACGCGGTGCACATCGAGCGCTGGCTGGCCCACTTTGCGGCCTCGCAGGTAGTCTCCTGACCCCGACCGCCTCTGTCCACTGTGTCAGGATGGTGCCGATCTCACAGACACCATGGCAGCCCCAACTGGTGTGACTCAGTGGATGGCGCCGGCCTGTCGACGGAAGGGTCCAGGGTTCGATTCCCGGTCGGGGCACATGCCCGGGTTGTGGGCTCGATCCCCAGTGAGGGGCGTGCAGGAGGCAGCTGACCCATGATTCTCTCATCATTGATGTTTCCATCTGTCTCTCCCTCTACCTTCCTCTCTGAAATCAATAAACATATATTTAAAAGGAAATGGGAATTACTATATTTTTCCGTGTATAAGATGCTATTTTTTTCTAAAATCGTGAGACTGAAAATCGAGGGGCATCTTATACACGGAAGTCAGCTGAGGAGGGAGCCGCGCAGGTGCATAGCTGCCCACACCTGGTCAAACAGGCCTCCTCCAATCATGAGCCTTGTTGTTACTGACGTCAGCTGATGCCGTAATGGGAGGTGGAGGTGGAGAGTGCGCAGTTGCAACAGGGACCGGAGCGTTCTGAGCTCATAAAGATGTAAAAAAATAAAAAGATAAATACTGGTAAGCGATTGTCTTACTCTGCAAAACTCAAACGGAATGTCATCAGCTCTGAAAGGAGCATGGAAACAGAGCTGCAGAGGGACCATGTGGACCCCCTCCCATGGAGTGTAGGATCAGACAGCGGGGAAAACAGGAAGAACAGCCCTTAAGATGTCAAAAAAGAAGCCTTAGAGCAGCGGTTCTCAACCTGTGGGTCGCGACCCCTTGGGCGGTTGAACGACCCTTTCACAGGGGTCACCTAAGACCATCCTGCAGATCAGATATTTACATGACGATTCATCACAGTAGCAACATGACAGTTATGAAGTAGCAACGAAAATAATTTTATGGTTGGGTCACACCATGAGGAACAGTAGTTAAAAGGCCAGAAGGTTGAGAACCACTGACTTAGAGGAAAACCAGCAACATGTTTAAAATATCGATTTCTTAATTTTGGGTTGGAAAAGTGGGGGCGTCTTCTAATGGGAGCATCTTACACACGGGAGAATGCGGTAACATGGCCACAGACAGGATTTACTCTAAATAGTGCCTCCAGCAAACTAATTGTTCATTTGAAGACACCGCGTAGTAGACATCACCATGCATCCGTGTGGTGCAGGTTAACCCGCTGGAGACACGATGGTACATGCATTCCATGTGGTGCAGGTTAACCCGCTGGAGACACGATGGTACATGAATTCCGTGTGGTGCAGGTTAACCCACTGGAGACACGGATAGCACATGCATCCCGTGTGGTGCAGGTTAACCCGCTGGAGACACGATGGTACATGAATTCCGTGTGGTGCAGGTTAACCCACTGGAGACACGGATAGCACATGCATCCCGTGTAGAGCAGGTTAACTCACTGGAGCCACGATGGTACATGCATTCTGTGTAGTGCAGGTTAACCCGCTGTAGACACGGAGAGTACATGCATTCCATGTGGTGCAGGTTAACCCGCTGGAGACACGATGGTACATGAATTCCGTGTGGTGCAGGTTAACCCACTGGAGACACGGATAGCACATGCATCCCGTGTGGTGCAGGTTAACTCACTGGAGACACGGATAGCACATGCATCCCGTGTGGTGCAGGTTAACCCGCTGGAGACACGATGGTACATGCATTCCGTGTAGAGCAGGTTAACTCGCTGGAGACACGATGGTACATGCATTCCGTGTGGTGTAGGTTAACCCACTGGAGACATGATGGTACATGCATTCCATGTAGAGCAGGTTAACCCATTGGAGACACCAACAGCACATGCATCCCGTGTAGAGCAGGTTAACTCGCTGGAGACACGATGGTACATGCATTCCGTGTGGCGCAGGTTAACCCGCTGGAGACACGATGGTACATGCATTCCGTGTGGTGCAGGTTAACCCACTGGAGACACGGATAGCACATGCATCCCGTGTGGTGCAGGTTAACCCGCTGGAGACACGATGGTACATGCATTCCACGTGGCGCAGGTTAACCCGCTGGAGACACGATGGTACATGCATTCCGTGTGGCGCAGGTTAACCCGTTGGAGACACGATGGTACATGCATTCCGTGTGGTGCAGGTTAACCCACTAGTTCAGGTCATCTGAGGTCCAGGGAGGCGGCTGAGTCTAGTTAATTTCGCTTTGTTCCTCACTAAGTGACTATTTTTGCCTTCGCAGTTGCTGATTATTGACGGACAGCAGCTGAGGTCCGACCCGGCCACTGTGATGGACGGCGTCCAGAAGTTTCTGGGAGTGACGCCGCGTTACAACTACTCGGAAGCACTGACGTGAGTCTGACTCATGCTCGCCCATGCGCCCATCAGTTGCCGTCATAAGTGATCCCGGGGTGGGGGTGGGGGTGGGGGTGCAGATGAGCCTGCACCATTAGCACAAGCTTCGTTTTTACACCTCATTGTGTGACTCCAGAGCCCTCGGGGGAGAGTCCTCCCTATCCACGGAGTGTCTGCCTCTTTTGTGAGTTCTTCCCAGGAAAAGTTTGGTTAAGTCCACTTTTTCCATCCCCAGGAATGGAGGCTTAAAGGTGAAAGGTTAGTCTCTCTCCTGCGGGGTTTACGGGTCAGGAACAAAGCCCCGATGACATCACGAGGTCCGTAAAAGTGGGCAAATTTATTTTTTCTTTTTTTTATATTTTTACTAGAGGCCCAGTGCATGAAATTTGTGTACTCAGTGGGGGTCCCTCAGGCCAGCCTGCACCCTCTCCCAGTCTGGGAGCCCTCGGGGGTTGTCTGACTGACGACTTAGGCTCACTCCCCAGAGAGGCTCCTGCCACCACCGCTGTACTCGCCAGCTGTGAGCCTGGCTCAGAGCTTCTAGCTGAGCGGCACTCCCCCTGTGGGAGTGCACTGACCACCAGGGGGCAGCTCCTGCATTGAGCGTCTGCCCCCTGGTGGTCAGTGTGCATCATAGCAAACGGTCGTTTGGCTGTTTGGTCAATTTGCATATTAGTCTTTTATTATATAGGATTGATTTCAGAGAGGAAGGGAGAGGGAGAGAGAGAGAGAAACATCAGTGATGAGGGAGAATCATCGATCGGCTGCCTCCTGCACGCCCCACACTGGGAATCAAGCCCCAACTCGGGCATGTGCCCTGACCAGGAATTGAACCTGACCTCCTGGTTCTTAGGTTGACACTCAACCACTGAGCCACGCCTGCCAGGCGGATTTTGGGTTTACTCTGTATTCATTAAATGAGGTAACCTGCTCAGAGAGAATCATGTCTAATGTCCAATGATCTGTTGCTACATGAGGGGTGATTTCCAAGCCTACCAGCATGGAGCCACGGCCACGTTATTGGCTCGTGGATTCTGTGGGCTGGGAATGGAGACAGCTTGTCTCTGCTCATCATACCTGGGGCCACCGCTGGGAAGACGTGGATGTCTGGATGTGACTTGAATGTCTGGGCACTGGAATTTTCTGGAAGCTACTTTTTCAGTGTGTGGGTCACTCACCTCCTCGATTAAATGTAGTCCTAAGTATTTTATTCTTTCAGATGCAATCATACATGGGTTTATTTTCTTGATCTCTTTCCAATGGTTCATGATTTGTGTGTAGAAATGCCACAGATTTCCAAATGTTAACATTGTATCCTGCAGCGTCCCTGTGTTCATCGGTTGGTTCTCAGTGTTTTGGTAAAGTTGCAGGGACTGCGAGGGTCGAACCATCCTTGTCTCCCAGGACTGAGTCCCACTTGATGCCGGTGTGGGACTGATCCTGTTCACGTCTTGCTGGATTTGTTGGGGATTTCTGCATCTGCGTTCTCCAGGGACATGGGCCTGTAATTCTGCTTCTCTGTGTCCTTGCCTGGTGTGTGGTCGGGATAACGTGGGCCTTATGAAATGTGCGAGCTCTCTCTCCTCTTCGATGTTGCGGGAGAGTCTGAGGGATTGAGATCTTCGGTAGAATTTTCCAGGGAAGCTGTCTGGTTCCAGGACCAGAATGTTATTCCAATTGCTGTCCCCAAGGTCCCTTCAGGTCTCTTCACGCTCTTGAAGTTTATTTTCATTTGCTGCTCTGGGGAGTTCCATGGCTTTGTCTCCCAGCTCATCAACACATTCCTTGACTTGCCCCGCCTGCGGCCGCCCTCCAGTGGGTTTCAGGTCTGTGGTCCAGGTGTGTTGTCTGTCCCCAGCCAGAGTGTCTGCCTGTCCGTCTGCCTGTCCTCCCACTGGTGGAGGCTCCCCCCTCCCCCCGGATCCCCCACAGACGGAGCTATCCCGCGACCCCAGGAGGAGGTGACTCAGGACCTTCACCACCTTGAATCTGACTCCTCCTTCTGTCCTCACTCACATCTCTGCCTGGTGGGTGGGGAGGGATCAGAGGCCGAGTTCAACGGGAGGACACCCCTCATGGGGCTTTCTCTCCGTGCTGGCTGGGCTCTGAGGGTGGACAGCACGTCGGGACAGTGGTCCAAGACAGCCAGGGCCTCCTTGGGCCTCGCCCACAGGTCACACAGCACCACTGATGCCATGCTCTGTTGATTACACCCAAGTCACCACAGCCAGCCCAAGTCCATGGGGGGAGGGGCAGCTCAAACCCATGGGGGGAGGGGAGCCCAAGTCCATGGGGGGAGGGGGAACTCAAACCCATGGGGGGAGGGAGCTCAAATCCACGGGGGAGGGGGAGTCTCCTGCTCATGGGGATGTGGTTGGAGAGGGATCACTGTAGGCAGCTTGGGAAATAAAACCTGTCCTTGTGTAAGTAAAAGTGGGAAAATGAAAACAAGGCAAACAGACAAAACCCGCTGAAGCCAGAGCCTTTACCAGAGTAATGGGTGCGCTGGCCTCCCTCCCCAGGCCGAGGGGAGGCCTAGGCAATGTTGGACCGACGTCTAAGGAGCTGATCACATCCTTTCCCGGCTCCTGGCAGGTGCTTATCAATTAGATGGAGAGAGGGTCATGGGCGGATGAGAAACAGTGATGAGGTTGGGTGGCTCCCGGTGTCCCTGCATGCGGAGCCATCAGCACGGGCAGCGCACCCCCAGGGCCCGGCACCTCTGACCCGCGGGGCATCCTCGCTCTGGAGGAGGCCGGCCTCCGCCGGCACTTGAGGAAACGCGTCCGTCCTGTTCACGGCAAACAGCTGCTGACGGTCCGTGAGCTGCCACGCCTCCGGGGAAGGGAGATGGCCGACAGACAGAACAGC